AGAGGCAGGGATCCTCCTGTAACACAAGATGGCTGCACCCACAATGAAGGCTGATTTCCCATAACAAGCCTTCATGAGCAATTAGCAGGGACCTGAGGCTGCCTGACACTGGGCTGAGGCAGGGGACCCGAGGCTGTGCCCCTCTCCTGGTGGGGCTTGACAGGGGACCTCAAGGTGCACCCCCCGCCTAGACCGGGGGACTTCAGGCTGTACCCCCCCCCCCCACCAGCCCAGCACTGGGCCAGGCGACCTGAGGCCATACCCACCACCTGGCAGAGCTTGACTGGGGTGGGGATGGCTGGGTCTGGATCTAGCCCAATGTGGGTGGGACTGGCCTGGGTCTGGGTCTCGTGATTTTGAGGTACACGTGGGTGTGTGGGGACTTGACTCTGATTCCCATGGTGTGCCCCAGACTCTGATAGGAAGAAGGTTTTCTTTTACATTTTACTAATTTTCTTTTATCTCTGACACTTCTATTATAGAGAAAGGGCAAATAGCAATATTAAAATATTTCCTCTAATTAATTCCCTTTTAATGTGCATGAATTTTGTGCACCAGGTCACTAGTTCAAGAATAAAGGAAAATTATATCTTTCCAAAATTTGAATTAGCACAAAGGAATGAAGAACACTAAAAATGCTTAACTACATAGTTATATATACAATACATCTTGTGCTTATTTTTATCTTTTATAATATTTGATTATTTAATGAAAAAAATAATACCAATGCTTTATAAACTTCAATAATACTTTTGTGAAGTCAATAGTGATAAGTCAAATATACAAACTAAAATTATTAGCAAGCACTAACGAAGCAAAAGAGTTATAGTTAATGAGCTCACAAGAATGGAACATAAAGGATTTGTATGCATGCAATATTATTGTAGCATAACCAATAGACACAGACACTGGGGCTTTTGGGGCTTGCCCAGGGTGGGAATGGATGGGGGGTGGGGGGAGTGTCAATTGGGGGAAAATGTGAAATATGTAAAACTTTAAACAATTAAAAAAATTAAAAAATGAAACATAAATAATTAAAAATAAGTAATCTCCCCCAAATTCAGAAAGAGAAGTAAAAGGGGCATAAAGCATATATGGGACAACAGACAGAACAATAACAATAAAAAACCCACACACAAATAATAGGGTGGTAGATATAAACCCAATTATATCAATATTAATATTAAATGTAAATGGCCTAAACACCTCAATTAAAATTCAGAGACTATTAGATTGGATGAAAAGCTGCCTACAAAAGTCCACTTAAATATAAATATACAAACAGTTTGAAAGTAAAATAATGGAAAAATATGTATCATGCTAACCTACAAACAAAAATTAGGCTGGAGTTGTCATTGACATCAAATACAATGCGGATTACAGAGCAAAGAATATCAGCATTGATAAAGAAAAATAGTTTATAAATGATAAACTGGCTAATTAATCTAGAGAACATAACAACCCTAAATAAATATGCACCTTATAACAGAGTCAAATTACAAGGGGCAGAACTGGTAGAACTAATAGGAAAGAAAAATACTCACAAGTATAATTGCTTAATAAAGCAAAAGCTCAGGCATCTCTTTTTCTATTGTTGTTTTTCCCCCTCAGTCTGTCTTAACCTTAGCTCACAGGATAACAATTCTCAAAAGCTCCATGATTAAACTCGGAGATTCATACCTGAAGCTATAGTTGTGTTTGATCGGAAATTTTAGGACTGTGTCCTATCTCACTTGGTTAGAATATTTTGTTGTTGCATGAAAGAGATATGATTTTCCAGAAGACCCTGATTATTTGCGTAAAACAAGTCAGGCTCAGATTCGACCCCAGCTTCCTTTCTCCATCCCAAAGATACAGGTCTTTGCTGTTTCTGGCCAAATTTATCTAAGTGTATTAATGTAACACTTAACTCTCTCATTAAAAATTAGCTTTGACTTTTCTTGTTTACTTTAATTCTCTTGCTGTCTTCCCTCATTAGTAAAATGGAGATGATACCTGACACTAACAAAATGTAGCATTTGAAGGAATAGACTGGTATGTGTAAAGCACATGGAAGAAATGCACTGAGCAGCTGTCCGAGAACATTAAATGACATGAGTAATTAAGAAGAGATTTGTATTATTCTGACCCAAACAAAGTATTTTTTTAAATACAGAAGATGGAGGAATCATTTTTGATTGAATGCTTGGATTTAGTGTTGGTAGAATGAATGACCACATGATCCTTTAGTCATCAATTTGATTTTACAAGTGATAGCTCAGGTTATAAAACTCAAGATGCAACCTGAAAGGGTTACAAGAAAAGGAGAATATGCCGAAACTGGTTTGGCTCAGTGGTAGAGTGTCGGTCTGCAGACTGAAAGGTCCCAGGTTCGATTCAGGTCAAGGGCATGTACATTGATTGCGGGCACATCCCCGGTAAGGGGTATGCAAGAGGCAGCTGGTCAATGTTTCTCTCTCATCGACATTTCTAGCTCTCTATACTTCTCCCTTCCTCTCTGTAAAAAAATCAATAAAAATATATTTAAAAAAAAGAAAAGGGAAATAAAGAGGGGAGATTTTAGGTTTTAATAAAAGACACACATATATTTACTCCAATGAAGTATTTGCTCCTCTAGTTCAATAATAGTATTAATCTTTCCTAAAAGATTCTTCCAAATAGCCTTAGAAAATTCACCAGGTGTAAGACAGGGCATATGCTTTGGACCTCGGGGAGCAGAAAATGAGAAAAGAGTTACAAATAGAAGAGTATGAATTATTAATGAACCCCCCTGAGGCTGTCCTTAAAGATGGCTAGAAAATGCCTATAGATTGAAAAGAACTAACCTAAAAAAAAATCATAAAAGATAAAACCATTTCTCCTGATCTATTCTGAGTAATGATCTTAGGGAATGACCTTTCATCTCCCCTTCACTCCTCCCTGGCAACCAATGATCTTGTTGAATGCCTCTAACTCTCCCACTAGGGATTTTCTAGGCATTCTATTATTGCCTGGAACCATTTACATTTTTGCCTTTCACAATGAATTGAATGTCACTGTGTTGTTTATATTTTTTATCCAAGTTAATTAATTGTAGTAAATAAATATTTTATATAATTCCATCCATTTTTTTGAGTATTCTGAGTTTAGAAACCTAGAAACTTCAACTATTTTTTAAAAAACTGTTTGACACAATCCATTATTTCTTACCTGTGTTGGTTATAGTCCACTTTTAGGTAAAAAAGATAACATACTTGAATACTATAAATGTCATAGTTTATAAAAACACAATTCCAAGCCCATGTTACTATAGTATGTATATTTGCTAAACTGCAACTGCTGATGTACAAAATGATCAAGAAGAACAATGCCTTATTTACATGTATGTTTTACCTTTAAAAATTGCAAATAACTTGACTTTTATTATCTCATACAAATATTGTGAGGTAGCAGCATGCTATTCCACTTTACAGGTGAGAAAATAAAGCTCATAGAGACCCACAGCCACTGTGCCACTTTGACAGTGATCCATTGTTAGAGACAGAATTCAAACCCTAATCTAATACCAATGGATTCTAAACAAATTTAATCATAAACGGAACATTCACTTTTTAAATCTTTTTTTTACTAAACAGTTTAAAATAAAAGTATTTACAATTAGTATTATAAAAAATAGATTTCTTCTCTTTTAATCTTTAATGTTAAAAGGATCACATAGGTCATCTTCTCCCCCATTAATCTTTAGAAGTAGGTAATACATTTACCTTATAAAGTAAGTATTTTAATTAAGGCAAAACTTTACTGGTTTTGCAATGACCAAGATGCAAATGTTCATACTTATATGTCTTACAAAAACTAACCTCCTCTATTAACTCTTTTTAATATTTGTTAACTCCCTAACACCATCAAATAAAAGATAAAAGGTACTCTTTTCCCACATTTTCACTGAAATAAATCACTTTCCCAAGATTAATCATTATAGCAGAGAGAAAAACATGGATCTAAACCCAGATTTGAAGTACCATCCAGTTCTGCCTTTATTTAACTTTCAGCATGCTCAGATTATATTTTGAAAATATGTGTCCTTTGCAATCATGCCCTCTACTAAACATTATTGAAAAGAGAATAAAAATGAAAATAAATAATAATTCAATATTCAGGAAATAAAAATAGCTCTCTGTAAGGGGGTTAAACACTTCAAAAAAGTGATAGTTGATCATTAAAACTGTAAAAGTTTTAATTATGCATGTTTTTTTCATGGGGTAACATTTCTAAGAACATTAGTTTACTGTATATCTCTGCAAATCCACATCAGTGTTGGTGACATATTTTAATGAAGTCTCCTTATAATATGTGATAGATTTAAATAATTTCTTAAATATCCCATCTGAAGTACTATACTCAGTTGTGTCAGTAAATGAAGGCTGAGTACAATTTGAGGAGAACTTGGATTGGAGAGGGATCAGAAATAAATGTCGAGAGGAGCTTGATAACTCTGAGCTACTGGCTTGACTGAAAATTTGTTTTTTCATTTTGTTGTTTTACAGTCATAATGACATAGCCATAAAGCTTTATATATAAATGCAAAAGGTAAAGTAGGGAATGTGACTAGATAATTCAAGGTTAAAGAAAATTGACAGGCTATCTTTCTAGTAAGAAAAAGATGAAAAGTATATTGACTCATTTTATAAGAATTTTTTAACATTACAAGTTTCCATTTATCAGTAGTAAGAGAAAAATCACCTAATATATGTTTCATATCTTTATGACACATAGGCAAGGGTACACACAAGGGTACCCACCCCTGTGAATAGTCCTAGATAAAATTATACAATTGAAAATCCAGAGGGGAAAATGTGTGTGTGTGTGTGTTGTGGATGAATAGAAGACAGAAAAAGAGAATTCTTTTAAGAATATATGCTGCAAGCTGAAATAACATTCAAAAACAATTTTTCAAGAAAGAAAATAATTGAAGTAAATTATTTGTTTTTCTTAACAGAATAAAAACCGCAGGTACTCACCTAACCTCTCAATGGAATAATACCGTTGTTTACTATCCACACGCACTGTCTCGGCATAAGGGCTTCCAACACCATAACCGATAATGTAACCTCGCACCACGATGTTTGGGTTTAAGGGAGGAGTCCAGCTCATGATGATGCAGTTGGTCTGGGGCCTCACATGAAGAGAGCTTGGCTGGTCAGGGACTTGAGACTCTAGAATTCAGAGAGAGGCATCATCAGCCTGTCTCTTAGTAGAACACACAGCATGGCACAATTCCCATTCAAACAAGACTTAGCATCATATTCCATAGAGGTTCGGATGGTATGTTACTTATGGCCCACGTCCCTCTGTGTTCCAGAATGTGAGGCATTTTCCATGTTTGATTTGACTTGCACAGAATTTCTTAAGCACAAGAGGTTACTGAATACTGTCCATTCTTCTTTATTCTAATAGCTTTTCTCTGGGGTTGTTTTAAAAAAATACATATTTGTATTGATTTCAGAGAGCAAAGGAGAGAGAGAGAAAGATAGAAACATCAATGATAAGAGAGAACCATTGATCCGCTGCCTCCTGCACACTCCTATTGGCAATCGAGCCTAAAACCCAGGCAAGTGCCCTGACCAAAAATTGAACCTTGACCTTCTGGTTCCAAGGTCGACACTCAACCACTGAGCCATGCCAGTCAGGAAGGAGTTTATGAATTAATGGGAATTGCAGACAAGTAACAAGGCAGTTGTAATATACTATTATAAGTATTTTGGTAGGTTTAAGACTGGCATATGCAATCCATCAGGTAAATATTCTGAGAAGAAATTTAAAAATGTGCCCTTCTAAATTATTAGTCCTTTAGTATTTTAGCACAGTTCCTAGCAATTAGTAAGTACTCAAAAATATTAGTGATTTGAACCTTATTCAAACTATTTGTGCTCATGATTTCTTTTCTACTTGAAAATGTTGAATGGTAACATTTGCCAAATTATGCAAGAAAATTTGATGGTTAAAAGAAATAGTACAGTATATTTTTTCCTTGTTGTAATAGCAAGAGGAGATGTGATCTCTTCCAATATTACCTACCATCAATTCACATACTTCTAGCTTAAGTGTTATATGAAAGTGTGTTTTCTATTCAAGTTTTAAAAATAGATACTGTACTAACAGCTTCTCAAAAGATGCTACATTCTAAAGATACATCAGTAGCATTTTCTAAAGATGCCTTTTTCTTCAAAGACTCCCATTTGTAAACAGAAAAGAGACACAATAGCCTTTGTCCTGAAGAAGCCTGTGATGTAATATGCAAAGGCATCATAAAAAAATCTCAAAACATGGATAAACCTTTACAGCAAAACACTATGTCTGAGAAGAATTTTCCATTATAAACCTTAAGGAAAATAATAAGAGAAATGAAAGGGATGGTTTAATATGTAAATTAGCCAGTCAAGGAAAGACAAATACCATATTCACTCATAGGTGTACTCTAATGAACAAAATATATTGATGAACAAAACAGAAACAGAGGCATGGATACGTACGTGTTAGACTGTTCATAATTCAGAGAAGTCCATTTGTGCTCTGCTATTCACTTCTTAATATAACAACAGAAATGAACATTTTTCTTATACTACTATGTGAGTGAGTTTTCTCCAGTGCAGATGATGTTAAAAAGCATGAAAACAGTTACTACTAGAATGAACTAGAAAACATTGACTCAGAAAATCTGCTGTGGAAGGTGTGTGACATGAATGCTCTTTGGCGGCTGAAACAGAAATTCGCTACTCAGAAGTACTTGAAACATTTCGCAAATACCTCTAGGACAATGAGTGCACATATAAGGCAGAGATAAGTATTAAGGCAATTAATGAAATCACTTGAAACCAAAGAACACATTTGGCCTGAAATATGCAAATTAATGAGGCCCAAAATTTCTACGGGAGTCTGAATTATTAAGATAAGTAGGTCAACTGCTATACTTGATGATACGATGAAATTATGGATCCTTAGTTTAATTTGTTTCTAAAGAACAGTTATTATTCTTTCAGTGGTGATTACAGATTCCCACTAATGAATAATGTTCACATATAACACACTAGGAAATTTATCAGTTTAATCCCTGTGAATTTTCAACAATTACTGTGGATTGCCTATGCGCCAGTCATAGTATTATAGAAGCAGGTAGGGGGATATGGTTTCAAGAAGGTAAGACCACAAAATAAAAAATGAAAGAATAAACAAGGAAATCATGAGATCTTGTTAAGTGCCAGGCTGGTGCAATAGTAATTGACTCACCAATGAAGGTATCACTGGTAGGGTCTAAGGTGAATGATCAGAAAGAGCCAGTCAAGCAAACAACAGGGTTGGAAAGCTTTATAGGCAGAGAGAACAACTACTGGAGAAGTCAGTGGTCCTGACTAAGTAGTCAGGTATTGTGTGTTGTAAGGTCTTGCCACACACTGGTGAAAAATCGCTGTCCTAGAGAGTACTTTGCTCAGCTTCACCACAAATTCTCTCATACCATTGATTATGCAAGACATTTACATAAGAACTTTGGGGAATTCTAACAATCTTGCCTTTTTTAAGCTGATGTTTTGAGGCACAAATTAAATATTTTACAACTTCCCAGCTGTTAGTTATTGAAACATGGTTTCAGGCAAACCTGAATAAACAGTAAGGTTTGTTCTATCATCACTTTAACAAAACACCCTAATTAAAGGGCAATCCATGAGGAATAGGGGTATTTCTCTAAGTTATTGTTGATTGTCAACCGCTTAAGCCAAGCAGAGAATGCAGGAGGAAGTCCGGAAGCCACAGGAGACAGAATTGCTTTCTGCTCTCTGCACCAACTACTGTGTCCGTGCAGCTGATTGCAGGGCTCAGAGTTACCACCTAAGGAGAAGATCACCTCATTGGGGTTCACCAAGAGACTCCAAAACCATGGGGGAAAATAATGCACCCCAAGGCACCTAGCGAGGGCTAACACTGCAGTTCCCTTCCAATGCAAATTTTTTTTTGGCTACAGCAATGTCTATTTCTGTTGGTTTTCAATCCCTTCTCCATATCCACAATTTATGAAAAATCATGCAAGTTTAATATCAAAATATCTGACTTTGGAATGTTTAGAATTCAAAGTTTTCTAACATTAGCCATGAAAGATTTGGTAGAACTCATTTATATATTATTTTATGGCTTAAACATATACATGAATAAGTTTAGATGGGAGGAGGTGAATATTTTTTTATAAAACCTCCTTAATATCCTATATAATAAAAGCATGATATGCAAATTGACTGAACGGCCAAACAGTGGAATGGCCATCCGAACGCCCATCCAGACGACCACCCAGGACCATGCTATGACACCCACTGGCACCAGGCCAGCCCAGGTGGGTGTGATGTGATTGGTTGGAGGCATGGCCATTGCCCCATGATTGCTCCACAGAGGGAGGCCCAGGCCACTGACTGGAGGGCTGAGGCAGATGAGCAGGACCTCCCTCTTCAAGGGAAGCCTGGGTCTTGTGTGCCAAAGGGAAGCCAGTGCTGGCAGCCAGGGGAAGGAAGGCCTACTCTTGCATGAATTTCATGCATTAGGCCTCTAGTTCATATATATTTTGCAAGCCATCAGGCTGAGTTTTCCTTTGGAGCTACTACTGACCAACTCTGAAGTTATACACTTGTCCAGATATATTAATTCCCATCAAGATTCATACTCTTTAACATTTGAATAACATAGATAGAAAAGAGAAAAATAGGATGGAAGATGAGAAATTAAATCATTTTAGGGGAGTATCTTAGTGCAAAAAGGCCATGAGTCAATAAATCGAGAAAGCCTTAGGACCAATATGTCTGGTCTTCTTAATTTCTTCAGCAAGCAAATCATTGCTTTACAAAGTACATGAAACACCTCTCACCTTCGCCAGTTTGGCTCAGTGATAGAGTGTCGGCCTGTGGACTAAAATGTACCAAGTTCGATTCTGGCCAAGCATACATGCCTGGGTTGCAGGCTCGATCCCCCCAGTAGGGGGTGTGCAGGAGGCAGCCAATCAATGATTATCTCTCATCATTGATGTTTCTATCTCTCTCTTTCATCTCCCTTCCTCTCTGAAATCAATAAAAATATATATTAAAAAAAAAGAAACACCTCTCTCCCACAATCATATGGTTAGATGCTCTAAAATGGCTATTAGTTTTCATTTTGTTTTGAAGGTGAACAATCTCAAATCATAATTCATAACAGTACCAAGTATAAGAAGTATCAACCCTACTCACTATCTTCTATTAATTTTCATTTACCTTTTTTGATGATGCCTTGTGGGCAAGGTCAGGATTGCCTAAGCAATTATCATCCATATAGCAAAGTGGAAGAATGAGAAAAGAGAATATTCAAAATGTCTTAAGATTATTGACTGGTAAATGAGTAACATTGCAAAGAATAAGGATACATTTGAACCAATATTGGCAGAAATAATTTTCCTAAAAGGCATTATTTTATAAGAATATAATATCTCCTATGCTACCTCACACATCTTCCCTGTATACCTAGTCAACTTCTTTCCCTGAAGTTTCTAGCTCAAGTGTTATTTGTCTTCATGAATCTTTGCAACCAGTGAAGCCATTCCTGCTTATTCCTCAAGAGAGCTGTTCCAATCTTTCTCATGTCTGTACCCCTCCCCCCACTTGGCACACTTGAGGTTCTTAATTATATTTAATAATAACTGCATCACCACTAAAATGAAGAAAATGTAAAGAGCTATGCTGCATTCATAAGAAGGACGTTATGAAGCCATGGACTTAGAAATGTTCCAGCAAATCCAATTAAGCAACATTGATTAGGACTCTGCTCATGGGCCCAACAAAAATATTCTTCATTAAAATAGATAGGTGAATTGGATTATGGCAAGACTGCATGGACATGAAAAGCATGAAGGGAAATAAAAGTTTTGTGCAATCTCGGGAGCTGTGACACTACATTTTAGTTTCATGTAGACTGTGAGTCATTCGAGTGAGGGGAAGGAGCACATGAGTCAAGTGGAGAGCCCCATCCATCCTGGGTGTTTTATGGGACCTTCGACACCTCTGCCCACTTATCTCCACTTCTTCTGGTAAGAGATACTGTCTCTGGGTTTGGGTAAATGATATGACCTCATTTCTTAGAATACTTCGCCTTATATCACTGTCTCCTATTGTTCCAGGGTCAGTTCCAGAGCATTCGTAGAGGCTCTGCTCTAATAATCTGCACTGGACACTCACTCACAAACCAGGTCTGGAGTCTCAGCTCCCCAGTTACTTATAAACTTTAAAAGTGAAATAGAAAAATAAGATATCTGTAAAGCATATCTTGTCTTTTTATTCTTTAGAGAAAACCGATCACATCCTCATGACTTTAGGCACAAGTATCTTGGACTTCTTGCCATACTTCTACCACTAACTGGGCTCCAGTATCAGGAGTGGCTTCTTTCTGGTCCTTCTGCCTGAAGGGCTCTTGTCTGACCTAAACAGAAGGCTGCCTCCCTCACTGCCTTAAGATCTATGTATCTATTTTACCTAATCAAAGAGATCTTCTCAACCTCTTATGGTCAAACAGTAGTTCCTAACCATTTGCTATTCACTCTACCATACTTTGTTTTTCTTTAGAGCATTTACCACTATTTCTATCTCAATAAAATGTAGAAACATTGAGAGTAGGGACCTTATTTATTGCTTCACACACCTATACCTAAAATAATGCCTGTTTATATATAGGTCTTCAAGAAGAAACACCTGTTGAATACATAATTAATGCTCGCTAACCTACTAATGAAGGGTATGAGCTTTGTGAATTGCCACTATGTAGCTCCACAACTTCTCAATTTATATTACCCAGGACAAGTTAATGTCTTAAGTAATACAGAAAGATAAGGTATTTGTATAGCTTAAATAACATCTTCTAGGATTCAAGTCATTTTTCTATAAAGTATAATATTACCTCTAGGGTTGTCCCAACTAGGTTGTCCCAAGTTTGCCTATTCTAACACCTTGTCTTTGTTTGTTTCTGTCAGAGTGATCTCCTCAAAATGCACATATAATTAAGTCACTATTTTAAAAGGCCCATTAATGACTTGCTTAGGCTAAAACATATTATTGTTTTAATGATATTCCTAGAACAGAGTTCAAACTCCTTAATTTACTCTTGTCAGATTTAGAACCTGAGTATTTTACAAACCTCATCATATGTTATCTCTGTGTTTTAGTCTTGATGGCTTTTTCTCCAGGCCCCAGTAGTTCCAATGTCTGTCTTAACTTTATACCTGCATTTACCTTGCCCTCTCTTCTTCCTCCCTCAATTTCTAATGCATGCTTTGGCGCAGCTAATTCCTGTTCATTAAAGTCTCAGTTTAAATGCCAATCTTGATTATGTTTATCTATTTGCCTATTAATCTATTTCTCTATCCATCCTATGTGATTAAGAGGGACACAGCCAATATTCAACTGGCTTTGAACTACAAAGTGGCAATTTCCTATTACTTCACCATGAATGTTTGTCTTTCTTTGTTATACTCTAAGATCCACAAGCAAAAGATCATGTCTTCCTTATTTATTATTCTATCCTAAGAGCTAAACACAGTGCCTAAAGCTTAGTACATTTTCTCTCAATATTCTTTGAATGAATGTGCTGTCCCGTGTCAGTGATTACCATTATTGTGGAAACAGCATTTGTTTATTATTTTAGTGCTGTCATAATTATTTTGTAAAATCTAATCAGTGACTATATTAAAATCATGAATGAGGGTAGATTCTTTAGAAAGAGAAAAAGAGAAAGGTCAAGGAGGAGAAAAATGAGAAGGAAGAGTTGGAGAAAGAGAAAGGGAGGATAGACTTAGAAAGGGTGATGGAAGAAGAATCAGAACAAGAATAAAAATGAGAAGGGAAGGAGGAAGAGAGAAAGAGGACAGAAAAGGGAAAGAATATAGAACTAACAGGCCTAATAGTAATTTCACTGTCAGTTATTTAGAAAGTTGTCTTGTGTCATCATCTCTTAAATATGCACTTATTTCTTCTTCTTATTTTAATCCTTGTCTGAGAATATGTTTTTGTTAATTTGAGAAGAGAGGAATCGAGAGGGAGAGAAACATCAATGTGAGAAAGAAACATCCATATGTGCCCCCAATCGAATTCTCAGCCTTTTGGTCTAAGGGGCAATGTTCCAACCAACTGAGCCAACAGGCTAGGACCACTTGTATTCATTCTTTTAGCCATTTTTTTCTTGGTCCCAGTTTTGATCACCTAGCTTTAAGTTTATAGATCACAATTTCTTTTTGCAAGTATCACTCATTTACATGAATTTCTACCTCCTTCACTTCTAAGTTGTAATCTCTGTAGTATATTTTTGCTTTATTGTTTAGATTTTTCTCTGTTGTTTTCATTTCTTTCTCTTGATTTTTATTTTCTTATTTAGCTATATGATATTTTTATTTCATAAAATATTTCTCATTTTCTAATTTTGAAAAATTTGCTTATATTTAATTGTTTGATTTTATATGAATTGCAGTAACTATCAAATCAAGAAAGTAGACTGTCCTTATATAAAAATTAAGTATCAAATATTAGTAACCATAACATAAAAAATATAAATTGCTGTTTTGCATAAGCCTCATAAAACAGCAAAAAAACTGTGCAAAGTAATTATATTTCATGATAATTATCAGAAATTGTAACAGTTCCTGTGACAAAAATGTTTAAGGTTAACTATTCAAAATAAATATTAAAAAAAGGTAACTTCAAATTATCTTTTAAAAAGTAACATATTATAAAGATATACTTAATGCATAATTAATTTATATTTACATGGCATTAGTGAAGACTATAGACATTAAAGATTTTTGATTTTGCATTTAAGATATAGAAAAAATTAAATATCCCCCATGATGGAGTTCATTAACTTTTTAAAAGAGAGTCTTTGAGGCAGAAGTAGCAAGAAAGATAGAAGTCAGAGTGGTAATGACTGAGGAAAGTTCTTACCATCTAGATCATTCTCTGGGGTCTCCACTGTGTACCAGTTGGAAGCTGGTCCTGTGCCATTGACTGTCATGGCTGACACTTGAAAACTGTACTGACTTCCTTTCTCCAATCCTAGAAAAGAGTTTTCCACAAAGAAAAAAAAATACTGAGTAACTATTTCCAGCTGAGTTTCAAAACTTTTAGTTACATTTTAACAACTGTAGACATACTTTATGTTGTTTGTGATGGTTGAGGTAATTATTGTTATTTTGGCCAAAAGGTCAGACATATTATAGCAAAGAAATCAAATTATTTTTCATATATTCTTATTTATCTTGGTCCACTTTATAAAAAATGTATCCCTGAAAATAGCCTGAGGGTAGATGCAGAGTATAAAATATGAAATAATCAGAAATAGCAAGGATCATTTTTCCTCACAGTCCAGAAGAGGTCTGCCTATAAATCAAAATCCATCAATCTAAAAATTTATGTCTTTATCATCCTTTCAAGGTCAGTGATTATGTTTTATTTGGACAAAGCAAAAAGAATCCAAAGCTACTGCACTTCAGCAAAAATATTAGGGCTTTTGTCTCCTAAAACCATCACAAGACATACTTTGTTTTGCATTGCTCCCATAATAGAGCATGACACAAGTCTATCTCTATGATAATTTGTACATATAATATTGCATACTGCAGGCTAATTTTAGAGAACAGGTAGATGAGAGAGCCCGTGGATCATTAGTGTGAGATGTGTTAATGTTTTATGTAAATAATTTTCCTTTTAGCTGAATCGCTAGTCGCTCATTAACACAAAAAATTACTATAAAACAGATGACACCTGTCAAAGGAACATGTGACTTTTTTGAGTTGTTGAGGACTCAGTTGCAATTGACAAGACTTTAAATCTGAAGGTGTCGAACAACCCTGATAAAGGTAAAAATATAATCCCTCTTTGCTTTTTCCCATTAATCACTAATGGCACATGCATTTGGTGCCCAGGAAAATTAATAAAGAAAATAAACTACTGGGGAAATGAGGCTTATATCATGTACAACATTATGCATTTGCAGATTTTTGCATTGGAGAATGAACAAATGTTGGTATTAAGGGAAACTATAACTTACTACTCAGAGGAGATAGTGTTTTAAGTGATGGATAGAATGGACTTCTGAATGTCAAGGGACAATTGCCATCAATAAATAGTACCATTAGAAAAGACAACTTGATTAACTCACCCACACAAAGGTATGTATAACACAAAATGTCCTATTAAGGACTTCTGATTTTATAAAATAGACTGAAGCTCCATGAAGACATGGACTGAGAGTGGTGTTGGTACTGCTGTTTTTGTTATTATTGGTATTGTAACTGTACATCCATAGAACCCACCACAGTGCCTGACACATGAAAGGCACAGACATAAAACAACTATTGAAAGATCCACTAACACATGAAGAAAATATAATGCTAAAATACACTTTACAACATCATCAGGAAGGTGGCAAACACATACTTTTGAACATGCCTCAAGTAGGCTCATTGCTCACCATGTTTTGTCCTTTGGTTATCTGCTATTTGTTAATATTTGATAGCATCTTAATGAGATTTAAGTGCACAATACAGTATTGCTGGCTCTAGGTGTCACACAGATCTCGACAACTTACACAACTTGCATTATTGTCACTTTCTATCCACTGAACAACTTTTCATGTAGTCTCTCCCTTTTTTTCTTATTTTAATTTCTTTACTGATTAAGGTATCACATATTTGTTCTCATCCTCCCATTCCCATCCCAAACCCCTCCCCATGCATGCCCCACCCCCCAGTTGTCCATAACCATTGGTTAGGCTTATATGCATGCATAAAAGTCCTTTGGTTGATCTCTCCTCCTTACCCCCACCCTATCCCACCTTCCCTCTGAGGTTTGACAGTCTAATCGATGCTTCCCTGTCTCCGGGTCTGTTTTTGTTCATCAGTTTATGTTCATTATTTCCCCTAGATGAGTAAGATCATGTGATACTCTCCCTTGTCCCTGGCATTCTACACTCTGCTTCTATGAGCTTGACACCTTATACCTCCTGTAAGTAGAATCATGCAGCATTTGTCCTTCTGTGACTGACTGATTTCACTTAGCATGTCTTCCATGTTGTCACAAATGGTGGAATTTCCTTCTTTTTAAAGAAAATACTTATTCCATTGTATGTAGAAACCACACTAAAAGACTATTATTTATTAGTGGACATTTGGGTTATTTCTTCTTTTAAAAAAAAATATTGATTTTTTTTTTTTCATAGAGGAAGGTAGATGGATAGAAAGTTAGAAACATTGATGAGAGAGAATCACCAATCAGCTGCCTCTTGCACACCTCCTACTGGGGATGTGCCCACAACCAAGGTACATGCCCTTGATTGGAATCGAACCTGGGACCTTTCAGTCCCCAGGCTGATTCTCTATCCACTGAGCCAAACCGGCCAGGGCTGGGTTATTTCTTCATCTCAGCTATTGTGAATAATGCTGCAACAAACCTGGACGTGCAGTATCCTTTCCAGATACTGATTGCAGTTCCTTTGGATGTATTCCCAGGTGTGGGATTGCTGGGTCATTGGCAGTTCTATTTTTAATATTTTGAGGAATCTCTCTACTGTTTTCAGCATAGTTTTTGCTTTCAAAGTTAATGTAAATATTATTAATGTGTAAATGTTTAAAATATTTTAATATTAATAATACTTTACAGATTCACATAACAGCCAGTCATTAAGGAAGCTAAAGACAAGAACATAGAGTGCAAGCTGTAAATAACCAGAAGTTAGGATACCCGTGATTTAGTTGGGAATCATCAGTTAAACTAGCAATGTCAGACTTTGGGCCTCTGCTACCTTTTCAATAAAACAAGGAGGGGTATAGGTGAGATAAATGGTATAGTTCCTGCTTTGGTTAGTCAGTCTCAAATCTCAGTGTGTGTGTGTGTGTGTGTGTGTGTGTGTGTGCACGCGAGCGTGCACACACATGCACCTGCATGTGTGTTACTTAGCTGCTTCTAAATATAATTTATTTCTAAAAAAAATGTATGGTGCAGGTAGCAATTCTTTTCTTAGCTGTAACAAAATTTCACTGTTGAAAGCTGATTGCCTTTTTCTATCTCAAATTATACTAAGTGCCTTCAAGCTTTGTAATTCTTTTGTTCTATTTCTCATTTCTTAGAGCTTATGGCAAGAGACGGAATATTATTCAAACAATATGATCCTTCTTTATTCTCCTAATGTTAACCTTGTTATAAATGTCTATGCTATTGTTTTAGTTTTTCAGTCCTTGAAATATCAATGTGTGTTTATCATTGTTTATTCTTTCTCGGCCATGAAATATAAGAAAACTGCTGAACTCAATCCAAAGCAAGCTTTTCTGAAGAGCTCTCAAAAATTCAAAAGAGCACTTTAAAATACAGTTGACAGGGCTTCCCACAATGAACTGATCATTGTGGTTTAAAATCCTTGTTATAACTCGGAATTACTTTGTTATTGCAGATGTCTCATTATCCTAACAAAACACACACAACAACAACACACACCTGTGTAACACATAGAGGATTGTACACAAAAGTATTTGCGTGTCTATACCTGAATATATATTTATATCATCAAATGAAACACTCTGGCATTTCCAACTTTCTAACAGCCAAACCAATATATCCACGTGTCTTTCAGGTATTAAAAACATGGTGTCAAATCCTGTACATTTTAAAGTGTTGTAGATCGCCATAGTAAATCAATTACTCTGCTTACTAGAAAGTGCATAAGTTACTAAATGTATCCTGGGGATAAGTGAAAACCATAGCCAATCTCCCAGCATCAGTGCCGCACTGAATTCTCCATGCTTTGCGGCATTGAAGATATGTCCACAACTTCTAGAAATTCCCATAACATCTATGTGGGAAGCCACTCCACATAGTAGAGGGAGGGAAGGCTGATGTTTTGTAAAACTTGTTTTTTCATGTTTTTTAGGGCAGAAGGCTATTTTCTGGCTCTTTTTAAATTTCTTTGCTTCAAATTAAAACTGGCACTTGTGTGGCTTTTGTGCAATAAACATCAGTTACAGTTTTAAATACAACTGCTCAGGTTATGCTTGCGTTTTATAGGTGCTGAAATGAAGAAAGAACACCATGAGTGAAGCCTTCAGATTTGGAGTCGAGAGCCCTACAAAGCGATGCAGATGAGAGCAAGCACTTGTGAGCCAGTCCAACAACAAGTTGAGCAATTTCTTCCCTATAAGCTGGAATGATATTAAACCAGCGTGGTGATGGGTTATGTCATGTTGATTTGAAACTCTGGTTGCCACACATATTTTAGATGAATAAAAAATGTGGGGCTAAATTATTTATTTTTGAATAAACCAAGTTTATGAGAGGAAACAATTCAAGATAATAATCCTTGAGAGAAAAATAATAGGAGGTGTCTCTGTTGAGTTGAAGAGTGTCCCCCTGAACATTAGAATGTGGCCTTCCTTGAAAACAGGGCCCTGCAGAGATAATAAGTTCAAGATTTCAAATTCTGTCCCTCTCCATTTCTCTCTCTAAAAATTAATAACAACATATATATTTTTAAAAAGCCCTGGCTGGTGAGACTCAGTAGACTGTCATCTCAGACATCTCAAGGTCACTGGTTCAATTCCCGGTCAGGGCACATACGCAGGTTGCAGGTTTGATCCCTGTTGGAAGTATACAGAAGGCAACTGGTAAATATATCTCCCTCGCTCTTCCTTCCTCTCTCTCTAAAAATCAATAAAAACATTTAAAATATTTCAAAATGAAACCATTCTGGATTTATGGTGGGGTATACACATGACTGGTGTTCTCATGAGAGGAGAGGCCATGGAGACACACAGAGAAGGTCTGCAGAGATGGAGGGAAATATATGAGCAATGCATCTATAAGCCAAAGAATGGCAAGGATTACTAGCAACCACTGGAGGTTAGGAGAGAAACGTGGGACGGATGCTCTCTCGTAGCCTCCAAAGAGAACCAACCCTGCTGAGGCATTGATTTTTAATTTCTCACTTCCTGAACTGAAAGAAAAAAAAAATCTGTTGTTTTAAGCCACCTCGTTTGTGATAATTTATTATGTCAGCCCTGGAACTAATGTAGGGTTTTTGGTAGTTAAAAGGCTTATGCTTGCTATTCTCTATATAATTTTTTTTAAAAAAAAAAAGATTAGCCATGGCAAATTGTGCTGCTATGAACATAGGGGTGCATATATCCTTTCTGACTGGTGTTTCTAGTTTCTTGGGATATATTCCTAGAAGTGGGGTCACTGGGTCAAAGGGGAGTTCCATTTTTAGTTTTGTTTTTAAAAAATATATTTTATTGATATTTTACAAAGAGGAAGAGAGGGGGATAGAGAGTTAGAAACATCGATGAGAGAGAATCATTGATTATAGCTGCCTCTTGCACACCCCCTACAGGGGATGTGCCCACAACCAAGGTACATGCCCTTGACCGGAATCGAACCTGGGACCTTTCAGTCTGCAGGCCGATGCTCTATCCACTGAGCCAAACTGGTCTTGGCCATTTTTAGTTTTGCTTTTTTTTTTGTTTTATTTTTTTAAAGGAAACTCCATACTGCTCTCCACAGTGGCTGCACCAGTCTGAATTCCCACCAGCAGTGCAAGAGGGTTCCTTTTTTTCCGAATCCTGGCCAACACTTGTCATTTGTTGATTTGTTGATGATTGCCATTCTGACATATGTGAGATGGTACTGCATTGTTATTTTGATTTACATCTCTTGGATGATTAGTGACTTTGAGCATGTTTTCATGTGTCTCTTGGCCTTCCTTCTGTTTTCTTTCAAAAATTATCTATTGAGGTCTGTTTCCCATTTTTTGATTGGGTTGTTTATCTTTCCTTTGTTAAATTGTATGAGTTCCCTGTAAATGTTGGAGATTAAACCCTTCTCGGTGATAACACTGGCAAATATATTCTCACATGCAGTGGGCTTTCTTGTTGTTTTGTTGATGGTTGATTTTGCTGTGCAGAAGCTTTTTATTTTGATGTAGTCCCATTTGTTTATTTTCTCTTTAATTTTCATTGTCCTAGGAACTGTATTGGTGAAGATATTTTTTTGGCATAAGTCTGAGATTTTGCTGCATGTGGATTCCTCTAATATTTTTATGGTTTCCCATCTTATATTTAAGTCCTAAGTGCCCATAAGCAGAGGAGTGGATTAAAAAAGAACTGGTACATTTACACAATAGAATACTATGCTGCGATAAAAAAGAAGGAATTCTTACCATTTGCAACAGCATGGATGGGACTGGAGAGCATTATGCTAAGCAAAATAGGCCAGTCAGAGAAAGATAAATATCACATGATCTCACTCATTTGTGGAATATAATGAACAACATAAACTGATGAGCAAAAACAGATCCAGAGACAGAAACACATTGATCAGACCATCAAACCTCAGAGGGAAGGTAGGGGAGGGCAGGGTTAATGGGGAAAGATCAACCAAAGGACTTGTGTGCATGCATATAAGCCTAACCAATGGACACAGACGCCAGGGGGGTGGGGCATGAGTAGAGAGGTAGGAGGGGGGCAATGGGGAGATAAGAACATATATGTAATACCTTAATCAATAAAGAAAAAAATAACAAATAAAAAATAATTATACCTTCTGTAGAAAGAAAATCCTATAAGTGAATCTTGCTTTGATGTTACTGAGTTTAATGTGATACTTTTCATTTTCCAAAAACATTGCACAAATACTAAACACATCACAGCAGCAAGTTCATTTGGTCATGTGGCTACTGTTCCACATTTACCTTCTGGGCCCACTCACGTCTTAGCTGTCCAGTGGGACTATAGTTAGCTGTAGTGGGAAGAAATCTTCAATTTTTGTAATGAAATTTTGCAATCTGACACTAGAGTCTTGACTTTTTTTTTTACACTTTACATACACATGCAATTAAAAATACATATTTTATTGTTATAAAAGTTAGCAGCAATCACTATTAATATTTTATTTATTCTAAATATTTTCCAATGATTTCATTTTTTTGGTTTATAAATAAGGGCTTATATACTAATCCTGATTGAAAATGAAGTTAGTGATATAATGTTTTAAATACTTAATATATAATTTAGTAATTTTATATTACTTCATTTTCAATAAATGTACAATACTCCATGATATGATTATGTCTGAAATTTCTAGATAACTGTCTACAATTGGGTATTTATGATCTTTTTTATTATTTGTTATTAAAGTAACAGTGTAAAGAGTTAATCATTCTTAGAGTAAAAAACTAGGCCAAAAATATGGTTGTTGAATTGGAACAAACAGCTAGAAGTTGGAAACCTAAAATTTATTCTTGAAAACACACACACACACACACACACATGCATAACATATGCACATTGCTTCCAGAAATATTCCAGAAATTTTATGACCCACAAGCAGTATATGAAAGTTCATATTTCTCTCATATGCTTTTCAGAAAAGGGTATCATCATTCATTTTTACTTTTATGTTTTTAACCAAAGAAAAATGCTAACTCTTTTTTTGTTTTAATTTATATTTCTCTACTAATAAGATCGAACATTTCATCATGCTTATTCGGCATTTGTAGTTCTGTAAATTGAATATTCAATCCTTAGTTTTTCTATTGGAATGTTCATAATTTAATTAATTACTTTACAAAGAGAAGTTTATTTTTTGTATTCAGCCTATTTCATTTGAGAAAGAAAAGCATTGATTTAAAAAAGTGTCAGTGCTTCAAGTGCCCATAGCTATTAAAATATAAGGCTTCCATTAAATTATCCTTAGAGTCTTTCTTCTGGACTAACATAAATCTTAGGAATTATACTAAAAAATGTTCAGCAAGGTTTTAAAATTTTGGTGATTTCTTCTGAAGGATACTACATGTTCTATTAAACATAATAAAGAACACATCTACCTCACTTCAACTTCAGTTATTTTTACCTTCTTCTGATCATTTCATCAGAGAAAAAAGCATGGGATCTTGGCTTTTCCTAGGCTTTTTAAAGGTACAGTAGAGTGCCATAACTTCCACTTAGAACCAAAAATACCTGTCTGGGATATTCTGTCCAGATATAAAACAAAAAATACCCTTTTTGGCAATCTATGTTGGAAGCACTCTAATTATTATTTTAAAATGTTATAGGCATAAAAGCCAAACCTATTGAGGGGGAAAAACAGATTTCTATCAAGTTTCAGACTGTAGGCTGAATATGATCTTGTGTGTGTGCATGTGTGTGTGTTTGTGTTTGTGTACGCACTCATGTGGGTTCCACTATGATTGCAAGTGGAAATTTACTGAATACTTATCACAGAAAAAGGAATAAATAATTACTTTATTCTCATCTGCTGTAATAGTTTACTTATGCATTAGATGTAAGTTACAGATTTTAGTGTGTATAGTGTCCCAGGCACAGTTTCTGTGCCATCTCAGATGGGCTCAACTTCACTCACCAATCCTTGCCATGAGCCACCATGATTTGCTTTGCTTCTCAAGCCACTAGCTAAAATTTATGCTCTTCTTAGGGTTATCAGGCCCTGCGTATTGCTGCTACATTAGACCTATCCACCCTCACATAGGTGCTGACTGACAAGGAGAATTCCATGTTTGCACATTTCCTGGAGCTCTGCCATCCCAGGGAGCTCTGTGTAGGTCCAAAATCCAATCTGTCATTGGATTCTGACTGATGAGAGGAAAGAGAGAAAGTGCTCACACTTTCTACCCAGCCATTGACTGTGGGACTCATAGTCTCGCAAGAGACACCATAAGAGGCCAAGCAAGCTCTGTATTTGTTCTAAACTTGTGGCCAGTTCAATAATATGCCTTCATGATCTGATTTCCCTCTTCCCCAGGCTCCCTTCCCTTGTCCCCTCACTCTTATTTTCCTGGACTTGCACCCCCAAAGGTCTTATTTTTGAAAGCCTGCCTCAGCCTCTGTGTTCTAGGAAAGAAACTAGACTGGCATTGTATTACAATAGTTAAAGTAAATAAATAATTATTAATTTTATTTTTAAAATCCTCTAACTACTACCTGAAAACTGGGTCCAGTTTTCATAGAGAAGTTTGACCTATCAAGAGTTCCACCAACATTGCTATAAAATTGAATTTATCTTGATATCTATGAAATGTAGAACAATCTGTTTATTCCCCAGACTACCCTTCTTTCCATTTTCCCAGTAGATTGAGGGAAGCGAGACCAACGTGGCTTAAACTTGGAACCATTTAGTTACTAGCTAAAAATTCAGAAGTCATTTGGCAACGGGTGCTATATTGAATTAGCAATGCTGAGAAACTAAAATAGATTTAAAAAATATATGATGTGCTTATTCAGATGGTGATCCAAAAATAAAATACATAGTGAAAACATTATAGAAAACACCAAGTTCAAAATACAGAGGTTATTCTTCTTCAGACTAACAAATGTCACCTGCCAGGAAAAAAAAAAATGTCCCCATGAAGTGAGAATATATGTTATTCCCAAAGCATTTCATTCATCAAAAACTTGTAAGACCACACAGTGCAAACACTGACCTGTAAACAGGTACCAGAGGTTGTTTGGCTCCAATGTTTCCATCTCACCCCTGCGGGTTGTCTTCCTGTGTCGAATTTTATAGCCAGTAATAAATCCATTTTGTGTTCCGGATGGAGGAGGCAGCCAGCTCACTTTGATACTCTGTAAAAGAACAGATGCAAATTCAAGCAGAGGAAGGATGGACAACAGAGCAGGGTCACAGAAATGACCCGAACCTAAGAATAAAGCAGAGAGGCAAGAAGTGCTGGGGGTTGCCCCTTAGGACCAAATTCAATGCATTCTTACAATTTAGCAGTATTCCTATTGGCCTAATTTTGACAAAATGCACTTCATTTGATTGACTACGTTCTTTGGGAGATAAACTAATAAATGTGAAAATAATGATATATTGTCCGTCACTCCCAAAGAACTCATAGCCATAAATATATACACAGTTGTCCATCCCTTATAACCCCCTCCACATTTATATGTGTGGACATGTTCTTTGCTCTCAAGTGTTTGAGAAAAGAAAACCAGATTTGATGAAGAAGTATACCTTCTATTTTTACTTTTGTCAGTGCTCCAAGGTAGTAGTATCAGATATTATCATTATTTAACAATTTTACAAAAAATGAAATTGAGGTTCAGAGTAAAATGAATGGCCAGAAGTCACCTTGTACAACCACTGGAAGATTATCCAACTGTTGAATTTAACATATTTTTGTCCTTTCATACTGAAATAAATAATCAGAGTGTCTCTTGGCAATTCTAATCATCTAAATTCTCTTACAAAATATTATTGAAAGGAATAAAACTAAACTGAAATAACTAGATTTTAAGATATCCAATAGGCCTTCCCGTAAGTAGCCCTTAGTAAATCAATAAGCATTATTTTCCAAAGATTACAAGCTTATTTTTAAAAAAGTCAAAATTAATTTCAAATGAGAAATAAAAATATACGTGAAGAGATTAACCTTAGATACAAAAATAAAACTTTATGATTACTAGTTAATGCTTTGCTATGGTTTTGCTGAGTTACCTCTCTTTAATTTCATAAATGAAATTAATTTCAATGCATATATTGAAAAAGGGAGAATAAATGTGCTCAGTTTATCTACCCAGTACTTGCAAATCACTTGATAAGCCTGAAGATCTTAATTATACTAATGATTCCATGAGAAATAGTTTTTGACACAATCTTTCTTATCACATTTGGGGATTTCCGGTGGTTGTATGAATTATGCACATATAGCTGATACCTTAATATCAATGCCTATAGCAATGAATTAATAGGATCTGTTACACACTCTACATACTGATGGGTAAATTCTCTCAATGTTTCTTATTTATCTTTGGAAGTAATTATATTATTCATCCTTATATGTGGGAAGCAGCTAAACTTATTAACATCTTTTATGCTTTTTTACTGATTTCAAGCAAATATTAGCAGGTTGCAAAACCTTTGGTGCTCACATTCTTTCTGTGCAAATTCTTCTGCACATGACCCAAGGCATGTTGCTTGGGGAATTTCAGTGAAAGTGTTCAGCTATTCTTTCTTAGTGAATGGTCTAATGTATTTCTTTTCTGTCTGACATCTCTTCTGCAAGGGCTCAGCAGCTCACACTCATTGCCCTTCCCTCACCAAACCACCTCAAGCTGTCACTGTTATGGGGACATTCTTATAACATGACCTGGTCTTCATGGGCCAGTCTGGTAATGATTTTTATTAAAAGTACTTAACACATGACCTTTGACTCTTAAAATATCAATTCCAGTAGCTGTGACTTGACTTTTGGTCCTTTTATTACTTGAGAGGGAGAAATTTATCCTTTTCACTGTTGCAGTGAGTCAGGGATTAATTTCTTTCTTTTTTTTCAGATTTGGAAAAACAGAAAAAACTATAAAACTGAGTTTCTCCAAATTCCTCCATCCCCTCTTTGGTTGGTATAAAAAACGAATTTGCTTACATGGAGCATTGTGGAGAGCAGTCAGGTTTATTGATTTAAAAGCAAATGTCTCATTGGTCTTTCTTCCTGTTTGAGATAGTTCCATCCAATTTGGTGATGCAGTGTTGTTAGGGGCAGACATGGGATATTGGGTACTATCTATTATTATAAGAAATATTAACCATGCTCTATTAACTGTGCTTGTTCTGTTCTGACTAGAACCAGCACATTCTAACCTGGCTGAGAGTTATATGCCTTGGGACATGGGAGCTAACATCAGAATGCAGCCCATCCTCCTTTTCCGAGAGCTGCCCTTCATTATGGAAAGAGTCACAACCTCCTGGCTGAAACAATCTAGTCCTGGAGGCACTCACCCTTTGCAAGCCCCCAGCCCCAGCCTGCATTGCTGATTACCTGTAACTATTATACCATGCCTGCTTACCCATGCCTGTAACTCTTCCTTTCCCATGAAATCTCTGTCTTTCTACCCAATACAAGCAGCTGGCTATGGGGAGGGGCGGAGCAGATTTTTGTGGATGACCTGCTGCTCTCCCATACTGCCGGCATTATGGGGATCAATGCTTATGTGATTCAGCCCTGTCTCTGCTTAATTGGCTCAAGTGGTGACAGGCACCCTGGACCCCTTGGTTAGTCAGTTACAGCATTATACTTTTCATGGACCCATGACTTTATTCCTTCACTCCCTTTCTCCAATAATTGTGTATGGGCCAATTTATTCTACAGAGTACTATTCACATTTCTTATTGTAGCCAATAGAAAGTTCAGACCTGAAAGGTAAAAAATAAATAAATAAGAGAGCCAGGTTGCTCAGTTGGTTGGAGTGTTGTTCCATACACTGAAAGACTGCGATTCCATTCCTGGTCAGGGCAAATACCTGGGTTTTAGATTTAATTCCCTATAATAGTGTGTACAGAAAAAAATCAATTCTCTCTGTCTCTCTTCTCTCTTTCTCTCTCTCTCTCTCTCTCTCTCTCTCTCTCTCTCTCTCTCTCTCTTCTCTCCTTCCCTCCCTCCCTCCCTCCCTCTCTTCCTCCCTCCCTCCTTTCCTCCTTTCCTCCCTCCTCTCTCAAAAATCAGAAACATATCTACAGGCAAGGATTTAAATAAAGAAAATAAAGAAGCCCTAAGATGGGGTGAAAATGAGAAAAATGCAAAAAAAGTGAAGAGATCTAATATATATTTTTGGAGGTAGACTTGGCAGGACTTGGTGATTTATCAAATGTCAAGTGTAAAGGAGGAACAATCATTAAGAGTGACTCTTAAGGTTTCAGGCATGAGCAACTCAATATATGATAATGCATTTACTGGGACCAGACTGTCTGAAAATAATCCACTTTCAAAAAAAGTTCACTGGACCTGCTGCTGGCATCAATAAATGACAATTCACAGAGGATGCAGAAACAATGCTATCAATATCAATAATATTTGAGTTACTGGGGAAGGGCATTTTTAATTTTATAACTTAGAATAAATAATATCTTAATTTCAAAATTATATAGTAACAACAATTAATAATATTTAACCTTTGACATTTATTTAAATACTTGGTAAATGTTTCTATTAATCATCTAAAATCTAATTGAACTTCAACTTGGAATAGAAATTAATTTACTAATGAGACAGTACTTTAAACTCTATTATATTTATAAACTCTGTGAACTATTTCCAAAAATTGTTTTGCCTTTTTATAAATCCATGTAATATATGATACTTAACCAGGAATGGATTTGATAAAATGTCAGTAAGATATTATAAAGGCCTCTCTTTTTCCTGCAGTTTTATACTATTCTTGCAGATTTGACATATTTTTGCCTCACTTTCATAAATATGCAATCTCTTATGATCAGTGAAGTTAGAAATTTGGGGAGCATGCTGAAATTGGCATTCTTGACTTCATGTAGAAACTGTTATTCAAAATGACATAAAGCTATGCTAGCAAATATTGATTGGGTTCCAGACTGAAGTCTGCTAGTAATATGTAAATTCTGAGTAAAACATTTGTGTAATAATAAAATTATGGTTATATATAACTATAAATCACACAGCACCACCCACCCATGCAAGTCTTTGGCCATTCCAGCATTAGGTCCACTGGGTTTTTATAATATAGATTGAGTAATATTTGACTTTAAATAAAATTTTACTAACAAGTCTTAAATTCGGGCAAGGAACTCTGCTTTGTTTTATTAACATAAAATGAAACTGACCTGTTGTGATCTCATTTAATGTTTTTGAAATAATACAAACATTTCTTAATCAGTAGGTTCATTTAGTTTAAAAATAGGCTTCTCTTTGTCTCTGCCCTGGTGGCCTCCTGAGATCTAGTACCAGAGGGATTCTTTTCCAGAACTTGAGCCCAACTTGACCTACCCTGGAAAAATCCTGCTTTGGTTATATAATAACCTAAGCCACACTGGGACAATTTCTCAGATTGCTCGACTTCAAATCATATGCTGCAGTTCTACTGTGATCTGGGCCCCAGTCTTATTATAGTAGCTGGGTTTTTCTGCTTTTGCCATGCTAATTTGCCTGTCCATTAAACACATCTAAGACATGCAGGCTTGATTCCCCCAGAAGCTAGAGTCTTCTCAGTCTCAGGCTGGCTGACTACTCTCACAATACTTATTTGCCTCCCTGAACCTAGCATATCATCTACTTTCACACTCTGACCTGCCCAAACCCATTGGTCTTCTGAGTCACCACTGGGAGCTCTTATGGCACCTCTCACCAAGCACACTATCTATCACTCTGTTTCTCTGTAGACTGTGACCAGTCTTCCTAAAGGAACATCCCTAATTACCTTACTTACTCCGGGACTTGGGGCATGATCCTCCTGGCACTGGCTTTGAATGCCATACTCATTCACCTCCATAGACCTATCATTTTCAGGTATATACAAGAGGCACATATCATATTAGAAAAATTATACTCAGTGCAAAAAAATGTCTTCTGGAATATGCTCTATTTCTTATATATTCCATTTTTCCCCCATTTGTTAGCTAACTTAGATGGGGTTAAATTTAAATTGACGCTGGGAAGTTTCTGTGTTCCTTTAATGAAATTCTGAGACCTCAACCTTGATAATTCTAAGTAAAAAAAGGGAAGCGAATAACATAACATAAACCCACTCAATTTTAGCTGCTCAGGGGCCTTGAACCAGTAAATGGAGGTAAAATATGTTTCCAAATCT